TGAGGCAGGCTAAATGAAAAAAATGCTTGTTGATGAACTTTTATATTGTGCCATGAAATGTACTCTAAGCTGGGTGCAGTTTGCACAGTCCTCTTTTGTAATCTCTCTTGCATTGCACAGATTGTCTATCATGGTAACAGACCACCCATATCCTTGTTCACTCTCCAGTGACTTATCGCTGTAGCACTGACAGGGGGAAAAGTACCTGGAAAGCCATGTCCCATTGGCCACTGGAAATCTGGTCAGATGCGTAAAAGTGAGGCAATTGGGAAGTATATTGCTTGGTCCAAGAAATATAGGGATCTTGGAGGATAATTGGTGGGAGTATACATTTTCAGGGTTTTTATTTGTGTTTGTGCTCTTTGTAATAACCTGTGTGAAAAGTCTACTTTTATTGAATCAAAACTCAGAAGTCCACACAGGTTTTCCCTCCTAGGGGCTTTTAAACATAAAGAACACACAGTACTGGCAACGAAAACACAGATTAAGCTTCTTGGCTTTTACCTTCAGCGTCTGGCCCTTTTGGCCCACTGGTCCTCTGTCTTTGTCTGTTTGTTTTTCAGACTACTCACAACCGTTTCTCTCACTGTCACGCAGGCTGGTTCTCACCACACAGGTGCATTGTCACACAGGCTGTATCATACCAGCTTGCCACATAGGCTGGTTCCAGGGTGGAGCCCTCCAGACTCCTGCACAGAGTCCTCCTCTGTCTCCCAGGTGGAAACAGTCACATAGCAGACTGGGATACTTTATGGAGGCCAGCTTGCTTCAGCTGGGCTTGTTACCTCTAAGCCTCCAGGACTTTCAACACTTGCCCCTAGAGTAAGAACCTCAGCACTACACCTGAAACTGGGCCATACAAATCTGCCATCCTGGCTATACCCAGACATCCCCATCTTCCTGCTGCCACACCGGACATTTGACTTTGCAGTGAGTTACCAGATGCCATGGGGGGGATTTACCAAAGACAAATAGTATAGTCCCTTCGCAAGGCAATTTTCCCCTTGGATTAGTAAATAAGGTGACAGTCTGCTGACTTCCATCATTCAACAGTACAAGCAAAAACGCAATTTCTTTTTCTTTCCCTTGCTCACCACATTCACCACATTCACTAAGCTAAGAAAATCTCTTGCAAAGTGCAAATTTCTTTGCAAAGTGAACAGACTATTAGTAAATTACCCCCCACTCACCATCAACCACAGTGTCTGAAGTATGTTGTTACCTGCCTTCGCTTATGCACCCATACATCACAGCAGATGTAGCTAAATGACAAGACTAGGTGAAATATTTATCAACATGTTTGGTAGGTAAAGCCATACTAGATACGTTTTTACATCTCTTTATTTAGCTGTTTGTGTAAGCTGTCTTTTAAAACTATTCTCAAAACCAAACACCTAAAAAAAAAAGAAATGTACAACTTCTTCAGTTCAAGTATTCTAATGTTTATTGGAACTGATGTAGTTTTCCAATTAGTTTTATCTACAGCTAATGAAATGTTGGAGATAAACATAGAAGTGCAATTTGAATTTGCAGTGGCTCACAATTTTGTGTTCTTGCCACAGAGTACAGATAATTGTTTTGCTCTCTGAATTCCTGGTAGTCAGAGAACATTCTTTTCAATGCAAGTCATCATTTTAAAATAATGCTAATAAACACAATCTCCAATATAAATAAATTCACTTTCAATTACTTGAACAACTAAAATTTACAAGAAATTAATAATTGAATACATTTTACAAATCTATAATTGTATAGAATAAAAAGATTGAGAACTGCAGAATAGTTACATTACTCTGTTTGGATCTTGTAAAAGCATAAATAAATGCACATTTAAGAACGGAGTAAAATAACACAACATGAAACATGAATATATCCTACTTTCTGGTAAAGGTTTAAAAGTGAACTCATCTTGGTGAGAGGAGTTTATCTAATCCTATATTCTCTATATACACACTAATATCTATATACACAGTGGGGAGTGTAGCACACAATTATCTCTTCACAGTGATGCATGTATTGGTGCCCTGGTGAGACATGGCACAGCACTGGGGATCCCTGTACGCAGCCCTGGGGAGACATGGTACAGAGCCCTGGTGACACCCATATGCAGTCACACAGAGCACTGTGAGACGCCACACAGAGCACTGGGGACACTCACATGCGGCCCTGGTGAGATGCCGCACAGAGCTCTGGTGACACCCTTTTGCAGCCTTGGTGACACAAACACCCCTGGTGAGACGCAAAGGCAGCCCTGGTGACACCCACATGCAGCCCTGGCGAGACCCAAACACAGCCCTGGTGACACTGACATGCAGCCCTGGTAAGACCGCACAGCCCTGTTGAGACTCGCACACAGCCCTGGTGAGACCGCACAGCCCTAGTGAGACCCGCACAGCCCTAGTGAGACCCGCACAGCCCTAGTGAGACCCGCACATCCTCCTAAGACCCAACACACAGCTCTGGTGAGATCCTGCACAGCCCTGGTGAGACCATGCACATCCCTGGTGAGGCCCTGCACAGCCCTGGTGAGACTGCACACAGCCCTGATGAGACCTTGTAAACCCCTGTTGAGACCTGGCACATCCTCCGGAGACTGCGTACAGCACTAGTCAGACCCCACACAGCCTCCTATGACCCCTTTACAGCCCTGGTCAGACCCTGTACAGCCCTGGTCAGACCCCCGCACAGCCTCCTGAGTAGCTTCATATTATTCTTCATTGTTGTATAATGCATTGCTGGGATTTGTAGTCCTCTATTCCTGGTTGTATTCTGCATTGCTGTATTATGGATTCCTGGGATTTGTAGTCCTCTATAGTTGGTGGTATTCTGCATTGTTGTATACAGGTTTGCTGGGATTTGTAGTCCTCTATAGCTGGTGGTATTCTGCATTGCTGTTTACTTTATTGCTGGGATTTGTAGTCCCCCTACAGCTTGGAGTTAGGGCAGAACTACAAGGGTCGCAGCTGTTGCACCTGCGCATTGTCCATCCAGCTTATCACCACCTGTTGCTTGGGACATGGTCTGGAATCTGAGCAGGAACCCTTCAGACCCCACCCCCTGGCTCAAAAGACCGTTGGACCCCCTCCTCTCCCCAGAGCCCCCGTACCTATGGTAGGTCTACCCTGGTCAGTGACATGTGGTGGACATTAAATTGCTACCTACTCTACGTTCGGTCTGGCAGAGAGAAGTCTTCCAGCGTCCTTTACTCTAAGATGTTTTGCGACCGAATGGCAGAACCGCAAAGGATGGTAATGCTGGAAGATGTGAAAGATGTGCCCCAATAAACAATGAGGTGTAAGGTTTTGGTTCTTAGTGTATCTCACACCGGGATCCAATTGCAATAAAGCGCAAGATCATCTAAAAAAAAACAAATGAACATTAAGCACGACCACACCCTGCACAAAGACAGCAATATTCTCCACATGCTCTCTTCATATGTTGCTCAATCCATTTATGAGCACCTTTCAACCTTACAGATGTGAGTTCACAGTGATACAAAATACATATTGTTTCTAAGGCACTTATTTGAAGTTCTTCCATAGCTTTTTATTCCTTTTTATTCTCCTCTATTCTCCATTTTTCTCAAGATCTCCCCACAATAAACTGTGTTTTACTATGCCCACCAATAGCTGCAGCGCTATGGAATGCTTTAGGTGGCACACATTCTATCTACCATGAAAAGATTGTTTGGTTTGAGTTGCCTCCCCCATCCCCCATGGCCAAAGGTTCCAAGTTCTCCCTGAGTCAACTCTTATTAGGCTAGGTTCACACCTGGATGATCCGTGACCGCGTGACAATCGTGAACAAAACTGAGCGGATGGCCGGCGGTCGCAGAATCTGCCACCACTGCCGATTGCGCTGGCGGTGTCATCATTTTCTAATGACACCCCATTTGCGCCGGGCAGATTGAGCGGTTTCCCTCCGTGATACCGCCCATGTAATTGAATATAATCGTGGCTCCCGACCCAGGGGCGCGCATCCAAGGATCACCCACATCTGAAGGTAGCCGTAAGTCCCACATCATGTCTTACCTGATCCTTGTTTTCAGCAGAATTTCTGGTGTTTGGGGATATTTCAAATTTGTCTATGGGTCTGACACTTACACCAAGAGCTGTAGGATTAAATTGTCAGAAAGTGTTCTGCAAAGAGATTTAGAATGAATGCATGGTGGAATCGGCTAATTATGACTCCGGATCTTAGACCTCAGCACATCTGTCATCTAATTCTGTTGCATTTGTGTCTTCATTTAGGCTTGACTTGGAAAGATGACTACACACAACATATCATTGCAAATGAACTATCAAGCATTCGTAAGGTATACAGCAGACCACCTGAATCTCTTCCCTCTGATGTTTCCAGCACTTCCAGGTAAGATGGTTATGGCCTTTTTATATACTTCCTACAGTGAGTTGTATAGGAATGTGTGTCCCAGACAGTAGATATGAATGAAGCATTGCTCATTGATTCATTGTGGTCTGTACTTTGCATTTATCCTCTATGGCAGCCAAGTACTAATAGAGTGGAACTATACTTTTGAACTTATCTAAACTAAGGCAATACTTTTAATGTCTTTTGGCCTGCATTACTCTTCCCATTAATTTTTAGCTCCTTCTTATGACCTGTCACAACACGTTATCAACATAGCTAGGCTATACTTACACATAGAACATAGTGACATCAGTTAACACATATAAGGGGAGATTTAACAATTATGTTGTAAGGCAATGCTAAAAAGGAGCAGTTAGACAGATTATGAGATAGCTTTACATTAGGATTGCTGCTTCATTCATAAATTTCTCCCTCTGATGTCTTAAAGTAGTACTATACCAATATAAAACCTGCCCCTGAACACTTCCAATTGCATGCGTGTTTTAAAGCTGAAATCTAAGCTTAAAGGGGTTCTAAACCCTCCGTTTTTTTTTGCCTATATCTACTGCTAGCAAGCAATAGATACAAACAAAATCACTTTAACAGCAGTTTAAACTTACATAGTTATCGCTGCGCGCTCCCGCGCTTAGAATCAGGAACTGCTCGTGTGGCCGCAAAGGATCTTGGGGCGGGCGCATGTGCAGTTCTGATTCTCGGCCTGGCAGACGAGCAGAGGCGCAAGGTAAGTCTATGGACGCGTGCACCCGCATGCAGACACCGCTGGATCGGAGAGACAGAGTAGTCAGCGCTGGATCAGAGAGCCGCCGCACCGCTGGAGGGACAGATGAAAACATCAGGAAAGAAGAAGAAGATCAGAATAAGAGACATCATTTAAGGTAAGTGCTAACATTAACATGGGGGGAGGGAAAAAAAATTCTGACTTTAATGTCACTTTAAACAAATATTGTCTACATTCAAGAGTCATGTGTATTCATATTTTAAACTCTGGGTTCTTTGTGTATTCCTTCTTGTATTGCCTCTCTCCCCCGTAGTTTTCTGCAGGCAGCCTGTAGTAGGAGGACCTCCTGGGACCCTCCCATAGCTCTGCTATCTGTACAGGCTTTACAGGCTATGCGCAGCACAGCGATGATGTCACTTCTACTTTTGTATAGTAATATCTGATTTTGCAAAGGCATTTGGTGCACACAATTCTCATCCACAAGGGTAAATGTTCTGCAGATCTTTACAAAACTGTATCAGTTGGCTGCTAAGATTAAAAGTGCAAGGTTCTACAATAAAAAAAAAGGACTGTTGGATACATTTTTTTAAAATTGGAGTCAGCCTGATTAAATGTATGTCTAATTTTGTCACTAAAATATTTTATGAAGATAGATAGACAGACAGACAGACAGACAGACAGACAGACAGACAGACAGACAGATAGATAGATAGATAGATAGATAGATAGATAGATAGATAGATAGATAGATCGATAGATAGATAGATAGATACATAGATACATAGATAGATAGATAGATAGATAGATAGATAGATAGATAGATAGATAGATAGATAGATAGATAGATAGATAGATAGATAGATAGATAGAGCTCTGGCAGCCATCAAATTGATTATATTATGTTTGTGGTGGGGATCATATTTTCCATTGGAAAATCTCCCCTCTATTCTTGTTCCAGTGCCAGCTCACAATTTTGGATTTACCCTTGCTTTTAGTAATTCTTATTATTAGTGGAACTGTCTGCAATTGTCCACAAGAGCCTATCAGATTCAAGTCTGTGTTTAAAATGACTGCTGTGGAATCTGATTGGGGCTATCCGTGCAGTATTTATTAAACCCAAGTTTATTAAATGAGACCTCTTGAAAATTAACTGATATTTGCACTCTTATATTCCTTCTCCCATTTTTTTTAGGGGTCAAAAGTTAAATGCAGAAAATGACAGAAATTATGAAACAGAAGCAAATAGAAACTTTGCCAAATCTTTTCACCAATATCTGCAGTATCTCGGGATCCTGCCACAGTCTGTAGCTCCGAGCTACTACCCAAGGACAAAGAGTGAACAGCCCCCCATTACGGTAATATTACCTCTTGAAACAAAAAGCTCTTAGGCTCCAGTATAAAACAAGATAATTTATTTTCTCACCTTGTTATTTTATGTTTTAGTACTGACCTTCATCAATAGAAGGTGTCTTTGTATGGTAACATTTCAAGTCTAGAATAGGTGACCTTCAATGTTATATATAAGACTCCCACATGAATCCTGACTGGTGGGATAAATTCTTTTTGAAAGAATGTAAAATATAGTCTTGTGCTTCTGGCTTTTTTTTTTTTTTTACTGTTATGAGAAGCAATTTACAGCTGCTATAGCAAATGAATATAGTGTTTTCAAGGTAAAATATTAAATATGGTTAATGTGATTTCATTTATTGTAATATTTGTAAGTCTGCTTATCCATCCATCTTATCTCAACCATACATTTTTAGTATGCACTTTAGAGGGGGAGAGTTGCATACACTGATGTGTGTGTGTGAATGTGAAGGCCAGTACATATGTATCAGTACTAATGTGATAAATGACAATGGGAGAGCCATTTCGGACAATGAAAGGGTGCTTGATAGTCCAGACAGGTAGCCCAGTGGAGGAGTCTACTTGGAGTCAGGTGAGATTTGCTCCTAAATGGGAAAAGTATGCACTCAGGGCCATGGTAATAGCCATTGCTGCTAAGACAGCATGTGTGAGGACTTACTGGAGCATGTGTCAAGATCTGTCCAGCATGAATGGACAGGTACCTGAATCAGACCAACTTCTGACCTAAATGACAGTACAACTGTCAAGAGAAGAAGATTCTGTAACTAGCTGAGAGCTGAGCAGACCAAGTGGTGTGGTAGAATAGCCAAGAGGCTGAAAAGTGTTTGTTGCTTTAGTAAGCTATGCAAGGCTAATCCTTTATGTTATTCCTCTTCATTGATCAATAAAAGAGGGCATAAAGTCCTAAAACATACCTTCACTCATGAACAGGTAGCTCCGTGTTTGATACTGATCCCTATATATATATATTATATATTATAAAAATACATTTTTAACACATATATAGAAGCTTTTTTTGTCCCATTGAGAATATTTCCTGTCACTTCCTGCAATCTCACTGGAAGATTTTCCACATTGGCAGACACCAGACCCTCCCAGTTGACCCATTGGGGGTTTTCATCTGTCTATCTGTACTCTGTGTGTGTATGGGGCCTGCAAGAAGTTACTGGGGCCTATGAAGAAGTTACTGCTGTGTTTTCCATTATCCTTCACCTATTCTCTTACCCGTGAGTGCTTAGCAAAAAAACTACGAAAACCAACTTTAGTGACTGGTGCCCATCTGTTTTAACCCACTACATGACAAGGATCCAGCCTTGAGAGTGGCATGTGCCTGGGAACTTAAAATGTATGTATGTGAAGCCAAAACCTTTTCATTATCATCCATTGAGGGACTAGGAATTCTTAAACTGTAGGGTCATGCTGACACTTACAGGAAAAATGGACACTGGTAACAAAAAGATCAGTAGACAGCACAGGATAACACTGTTCACAACCTTTCATACCTCAGTTTTGCTGGTGTCCTCAGGAGAATGGACGTGTCTTCTTCAGCTATGCTGTTCTCTGCTGTTTGGAAGATTTGTATTAGCAACAGCTGCTTGTAGATTCATGCTGGATATATGAATGCCTGGATAGTTTCGCCAGTCAGCCAATGATGCTTGTAGATTCATGCTGAATAATTAATATCCTGGTTCGGCCCTGCATTTCTAGAAGTGTCTACGGTCATCTACAGCTACTGGTGACTTCAGGACTGGATATGGAAACTCTGAACAACTCTTTATCTAGACAAGCAGTGCAGGCTAGCAGTTCATTATCTATACTGGTGTTTCCTCTTGACATGTAAGGTGGCAAAAAATGTGTTGTTTCAGATTTTTTGTTTTTCAGAATTCGGGTTCGTTAATTGTAAACAAATATTCGTTGCAGTAACGTGACAAAGAAAAGGGAAAAAAATGATTTTTTTTGACAGTCCACAGAAACGAAAATCCGGACTGAAATTTCGGACTGAAATTCAAACTTTTTGTTATTTCTGTCATTTGGAAAATCAGGTGCATCCGAATGTACAAATTTCTGAAAATTCATTCGTACGAATTTCAATTCGGAACGAAACAAATCGCACATGTCAAGTTCCGTCTGCATCAGGCCTGCTGTTGGCATGATTAGCATTTGTGTTACAGTTCACACAGGACATCAGGTTTCTGGTCAGGCCAGTATGTTTGGGGTTCCTTATGGATTTTATGGTCCAGAGCTGAGAGAGTTTTCACCTGACAGCATCGCTGAAGACTTGCCTTCATGAGTGGATATGGCAGGCTAATACCCTGTAGGGGATTCTTCCCTATATTGAGACTGAATCTGTCTGAGGCAGTGCTGTTAGAACAGACTGTCATTAGCAGGGCACTGTGTGAAAGTGATTTTTTTTTCCTTTCCATCTTTTTGTCTTACTACTGGCTTTATTCAGAAACCTGTGATATTTTATACTTTACATTGGTGTCACTGATGTTTCTGGTTCCACCAGTCACTAGGGCCTGTACATCGCAAGACCTCTGAGTGTTGCTATGGTTGAAGGGTTCAGATACTGTCCTGAGCAGATTTTCAAATTCCTGCTTTTTCTGCCAATTGGCAGGCAAACTTCCTCAGGCTAAAGCGTCTGGACTTGGGGGAGTGGTCGCTATGCTAGGAGGTGTTTCAGGTCCTGTGTTGCAGGTGAATGTGAACCTTCTGGATACCATACTTAACAACAAACTGGATAGGTACGTCTCCAGTTACTGACACCCTCGAGCTGAAGCAATGGGTTTTCTGGTTACTGCATGGGATCAGTATACCCTGATCTATACTTTTCATCCCCTGAATGTTCTTCCTTGTCTGTTTGCAAGATCAAGATAGAGTGCACTTTGGTGATCCTCATTGGCCTTGCTGGCCCAGGTGGATGTGGTAAGCTGTCCTGGTAAAACACCTGGCAAATGATCTGTAGACTGTGTAAGATCATCAGGATCTCCTGTCCCAAGGACCATTTTGCTTGGGACTGTTAAAGCCTTGGTTTTCTTTTTGAGGTAGGGGCATCTATGAATGTGTGTTTCCTAAAATCCTTGTAAGGATACTTGTTACAATGTTTATCGTTAAAAATGGAAGAAATTGTTGACATGGTGCGAATCTCGTGGCTTCCACACTAGGAGTTTCTCTGTGGGACAAATCCTCTCCTTCCTGCAGCTCTGTCTGGACCAGTGTATGGGTCCCAGAACTTCAAGGCACTTCTGTCAGGACTATTTTGTTTCAGAGACTGATTTAGACCACTTGATTTAGACCTTAGTAGAAGGAGTCTCCCATGTAGTTCCCCCTTCGACCCTCTGGGGTCTAAAGCTGGTTCTCTCTGTGCTTTAAAGGTCATCATGTGAACCCATCGGAGTTCCTCTCTCTAATTTGAACCACAGGAAGGTGTTTCTTGTAGCCATCACCTCTATGAGGCAAGTGTCTGAACTGGCCGTTTTATCCTGCAAGGCACCCCTTCTTGTTTTGCATAGGGACAAGGTAGTGTTGCGACCCAGGGGTCTACTAGGAGTAGTAGTATTACACTACTGCCTCCAGGGTGATCTATCTGGGCTAAAACAGAAACCGAAGGAACATAAGCCATGCTCTGTGTTCATCTGAAGACTGCATTTCTATTTTTATAGGACCTTTAGGTGTGTACCTTTAACAACAATTATCTAGCAACTTTTATTCAGAAAACTCTTGTTTACATTAAATCAGGAGTACATATCCCAAACCAGTAAAACACTCTATCAACATCACTCAAATACAGCAAATATTGTATTAATAAAATAAAATCTCCACCTGACCTTTCATATGATGCTTTTCAAAATAAAATATGTCGGGATTTTCTGTAAGAAATACTCAGTAATAAAGGGCCAGGTGGCTTCTGTCAATCTGCCGTGATTTTAAGTTTCTTATTAGAATGCCAAGCTCTCTTCTACCCTTTATATATTATTGATTTTTGTTCAAAAGTAGTACTGCTCAGAAAACCAATGAAAACTGTTCTAAAGGTTAAATTTAATATTATAAATTTATAACCACCACATGGGTCCTTTCATGCCATGTCTGCCCTGAAAACAGTTTATGCTCTTTCACGCTTAGTTAATAAGTTAGTTAAAAGTACAGTTATAATGTGTAATAGACTACAACCTATAGCACCCACTCACTCGTCAGTTTACTATACTCACATCAGGGAAAACAGAACTCCAGGCTGGCAATGATAAACCTTGGTCACACTTTGAGAGTGAGCATGTGGTCTCCTGTGATCTGCAATTGTAATGATGAAAAAACTGATGCAAAAGTCTTCCAAAGTTGCTTTCACATAACTGGATATGGAAAAAAGTGCCATTGGGGTTGTGTATAGGATGCTATATGTACCCTTATCCCTAGAGGCTGTGCCATGCTTGGGGGGAAATTTGGTTGGTCTATGACAAGATTGGGTGAAGGTTGGGCAATGGTATTAATAATGACAATGGTAACAATAATAATAATGGATATTATTGTTGAGGGTTGTGTGGTTGATACAAATGCAAAGTGCCATGTTCCTGGATACACCTTCATTGATGTCTTTGGTGTTCCCACACACTCGTCCATATAGTTATCAGTTTTGAGGGCAATCCTTTGACAAGACTTGGTATAATAAGGCATCATGATATATATAAGATCATAATTAGGTATGTAGAGATTGAAGGCATGCAGCTCCCCAAGATTTAAAAAAAAAGATCTAGTTAAGCTAGCAGCATGTTGGGTTTGCCACAGTGGTTGGAATGTGAACTACATTTTACAAGGAAGTGTGGATGTCATTTCCAGTAGTATCTGTTTATAGGTATGTTGCATTTCTGTAGACAGGGCCGGACTGGCCATAGGGCAGACCGGGCACTTGCCCGGTGGGCCGGGCCGAACACAATCAGCTTAGCCTGATTGTGTTCAGCCGGGCAGGGCCGCTATGCCCGCGCACGGCCGCTAT